ATAACGTCCATAGCCTGGAGGGAATTTCATACGGAGTAGTTGAAATACTTTACAAAGTTTGTGGACATCAAACCATCAGACAGCAAAGGTGTCACTATCCAAGCCACCCGTGTGGACAATTTTGGAATATTTCGGGTTTTGGAATTCTGGATAAGGGAGACTCAACCTGTACTTTGGCACTTGGAACTGAGCTTGCAGCAATAGAAGGAAGCTGAGTAGAAAGGGGGGAAGTGGGAGGAAGAGACTGAAAATGGGACATTTTCATAGCAATAGCAGCTTCATTTATATACCGCTTCATGCAGTCTCTAAGTGGTTTACAACTGTAAGCTAAAAGCATTTTAAAAGCAGCCCAACAATAGATCAGATTGTGAAGTCGTAGGCTTTCATGGCCGGCATCCATAGTTTTTTGTGGGTTTTTTGGGCTGTGTGGCCATGTTCTAGAGGAGTTTCTTTCTGACATTTTGCCAGCATCTGTGGCTGGCATCTTCAGAGAATCTTGAAGATGCCAGCCACAGATGCTGGCAAAACGTCAGAAAGAAACTCTTCTAGAACATGGCCACACAGCCTGAAAAACCCACCAAAAACAATAGATCAGATTAATTGAGACTGCCCCTGCCAAACTGGGACAGTTGGAGCATACGATGTCCAGGGCTGTTCAGAGTAGGTTTGGCCCCTGGTGAAATTTGTCCCCATCACCAGCTATTTGCCAGCAGCAGATCTGTGGCGTGCTGGTAGGAGATCTGGGTAAGCCCCTTGGACGAGGAGGTGGCTTTGGGCTAAGTGGGAAAGAGGCTTCCAGCTGTGGATGAAGAAGAGGAATACCAAGGAGGAACTCTTCTACAGCTGCCTGGGAAGGGTGTCCTACTAAGCACCCTGCAGTGTTGCCAGCAGATGGACAAGAAAGACAGAGGTGGCCATTTGGTGCAAAAGAAATAAGAAGGTTCACAGCAGTGGCACCATTAGGGTTGGTGTCACCAGTGTGGTAGCTCATGTTGTCATCCTCATGCCTGGCAGGTACATGCCCCAGTCACCTTCTTCCACCAGTCATAGAATCATAGAATCATAGAGTTGGAAGAGACCACAAGG